CGGTCCTGCGGGGCCCCCGGCTCTCGCCGTATTTTTCCGCTCTCTCTCTCCAGCTCGAGCCGACCACCGGGGAAGATGCAACGTGGCACCGTGCCACTAACATCCGGCGTGCATCAGCCCCGCGCCAAGCACACCACCGCACGGGCACGCACACATCCGTTACACTCCGGCGCACTCACCAGGCTCATCCCATGTACAGCACACGTGCAACCCGTTTTGGCAATCCACTCTCTGGATCGCAAGGTTCCCAACTCGCATGCTCCATGCTTTATACAGATATCTTCAGCACTACTATTATAATTTTCCCAACTGCACCAATAGAGTTCACTGACAGATGAGTGCTCATGCTGCAAACTGGATGGAATATCATACCCGTTTGAATATTCGCCACGGTGGCGAGATGTTAATTACCTCACCTAGTTTTTAGGAGGCCGTGGGTTCAATCCCAACTCCAACCTATAGATTAGGAGTTTGCATGTCTCTCTCCCCGTGGTCACGTGGATTTTTCTCCGGGTCTTTCGGTTTTCCCCTCCACATTTATAATCAACATGCTGTCTACAGTATTGGGCTCCTAGAATTTCCACGTGATAAGCCACTTTGTCGAGCTATCATTTGTAGCCAGGTCACGTCTGAAAAAGAGCTATATATCTCAGTGGGCCTTTTAACTGATAAAATAAAAAAAAACAGGTGAGACTTATTAACCGTTTAAAGCAAACGGAAACATATTACAGTGGTACCTCGGTATACGTCGTTAATTCGTTCCAGATGGTAGGACTTAAACCAAAAATGACGAATACCAAACGAATTTTTCCCATAAGAAATAAAGGGATAGGAAATAATCCATTCCAGAGTATGAGAAATTATATTTTATATGGCATATTATACATTAATGGGGTTGTATAACATTATTTAGACACTACTTATTACTAAAATGCATACATATATTAAAATAAATGCATAAATTAAAATAAATTGAAATAAAAATAAAATTTAACGTCACTTTACCTTGCTGAGAGGAGTTGATACCCTACGGGGGTTGTGCACGGAACCAGATCTACTGTACAGGCAGACTGAGGAGCGGCGCTTTGTCTCAGTCGTGAACGGGGTCTACGCGGGGACACGGTGACTCATCCCGACCCATACAAGTTCTAGCAAGCGCCTTGTATCCCAAGCAAGACGTCGTATCCCAAGACATTTTTTTTCGCGTCAAAACACGACGTATACCAAATTCGACGTATTCCAAAGTGGTCATATACCAAGGTATGACTGTATAATGATGTTCACGTGCAGAACCTTCATACACATCAAGTCTCAAGGCTTAACCCTTGAGGCTCGCAGTTATTCACAATGTTGAGCGTCCCCCCCGCCAGCTGCTGGGGCCGATGGTTCAGGTCTCATGTCAGCAGGTGTCAGGGTCGGGATCGAACCCACGGCCATCTGCATAGCAGGTGAGATAGTCAGCATCTCCGTGCCACCGCAGCACCCCTCACACCCCTTACACAGTACACATCCACCTGTCCGTCCATCCATCCGTCACCGCACTTGAGTAAAGTCCATCGTACAGGGACGAGTAATGGATAATTTTGACTGGACTCACACTGGCAGCACATGAACCCACACTGGCAGCATTAAAACAACAAAAAACCCAAAATCTGCTTCAAAAGGAAAGGCACTCGCTTCCCTCTGAGCAAATAGCACAAATGGCACGGCTCTCGCACATATCCTGCCGGAGAAAACGGCGTCCACTGGCACTCACGCCTGCCAGCGCAAACTGCCCCCCCCCCTCCCCCCCCCGTCCACAGCCACCGTGACAAGGAGTCCCCCGTTATAACCTCACTCGACAGAACTAATAATAAAAACAATAGTTTACATTTATAAAGCGCAATTCATCCGGGCATCTCAGTGCACCATGCACGAAGTTAGGAAATATGACAAAGTCCTCCAGAGTCCACTGTGTGACGTGTAGGGCAGGCGAAACAGGTGAGTCTTTAGAGAAGACCTACACGGGGTGAGTTGAGCTCGCCTGCCTAACGTTGGTGGGGATGACATTCCACTCTAGTCTTGTTGCAGCGCACCCAAAGAGCATTCTAACGTAGTCTTGGCGCAGGGCACCCAAAGGGCATTCCACTCTAGTCTTGGCACAGCGCACGCAAAGGCTCAGTCACCCCAGGTGCAGAGTCGAGTTGCCGGCACACGAAGTGGATGTAAAACCGGCAGATCGGAGAGAGGCCGCGACGGTGCCTGCTGGTTTATCGTTCATTTGAATGCAAAATGGTGCGAGGCCGGTTCAAGGCCCTTCTAGGTGAGCAGCAATACTTTAAATTGTATCCTGAAGTTTAGTTTGGTGAGTGTCTACTGAGGTTGTTGGTGCGGCACAGAGGAAGGTGGCGTGGCCCCATCCCCACTTTGCCGGCGGTCTCCCCGGCGATCGCCGTTGACCGGACCACACGACGTTCTCATTCAAGGGTGAGTCACCCCAGCGGACGGCAAAGCAGGACCAAATCCCGGGACATTCTCCACACGTGCCGTGCACATGGTAACATTCTATCGTCCTTCATGACAGCATTAAGCCATTGCTGTTTGTTATTTTACGCTTGCTTACTCAGGAATGCCTCACTCTAATACCCTCTTCTCACTCGAGACTCTTTTCGGAAGGGTCCTGTCAAGTGTGCGCAGGAGGGAGGGCGGCGATACTACTATTTTTATTTTACCAGGTAAGGCCCAGAGTTCTATAGCTATTTTTTCAGAAGCGACCTGGTGATCACAAATGATACCTCAACGAAGTGGCTTATCACGTGGAAAGTTATAGCAGCCAAATACTCTACACCAGTGGTTCTTAACCTGGGGGTGCAAGATGCCCTTTCTGGGGATGCGAAACATGGCCGGATTTTCTTCGAAGGTAAATCATTGAAAAAACTAATTAAGCACGGGCACGTAAGTACAAATACTTTGTTTCATCGAACCCTATTTATTTATTAACATATTTTTTTATGATTGAGAACCAAAAGGGTGCAAGGCTGCAGTAGAGGTTAAGAACAACTGTTCTAAATGCACTTTGATTCAAAATGTAACGGGAAAAACCGGAGGACCCGGAGATAAATCCACGCAACCACGGGTAGAACATGCGAACTCCAAATGTACAGGCATCAGGATCGGCATCGAACCCACGACCTCCAAAGTATTTTTTTTTGCATTGGGATGTTTGGCCCGTACAAGTGACATAATTTATTTAATTTGTAATCAAGTCTGAACCCTATTCTTGGTTCTTTCGGTAAAGTCACGTAGAAGGGAAATAATACAATAATAAAAATAAAACAATAAAATTCTCACGACGTTTCGATTGCAACACAAGCAATCATCATCAGGTGTGAAAACCACAGCAGTCACGAAAGCTTTAATTTGTAATCAAGTCTGAACCCTTTGTTTTCGTGCATTTCTCTTACGAGTCGAGTCCACTACGACTGCTGTAGGAGGAAACCGGGGCAGCCCAGAGGAAATCCACGCAGAACAGGCGAGGGAAAACATCAAAAAAGACAAGGTCCCCCCTATAGCCTTAACAGACTGTTGGGGCAAATGCTGTTAGTGGGCACTTACGAAGGCCTGCATGGAACACGAGGGGGTGGGTACACAGCACCACGTCCGACCACCTTTGTCTCCCCAGTGGTGATGTTTACACATCGCACCAGGTACTCATTTGAGGCTGAGTCGACCTAGGGGGGGGGGATACAGGACCGGTTCAGATAACCGTCATCGGTGTTGGCCGTGAGCGGGAATCGAACTCGGGTCGACGAGTTCGTAGCGCAGTGCGCTAACCGCTACTCTACCTAAATAACTCTACGCACACACACACAAAAGAGGCGTGCGTCAATGTCGGGAATTGAACCCAGGCAGTTTTTGCTGCGTGAGGCACAGAGAGCGCGAACCACTGCGTTGCCACTGAGCCGCCGCCAGCTGCCCTGCCAGCAAAGTAATGTTTGCCAAATGTGTGTTTTTTTGTCGGTGCCAAAATATTTATTCACGCAGGGAGCGTGCAAGTCCAAAAACAAGCACCCCCCTTCCGTGTTTCGAACAGTGGCAACAGTGTTTGGGGCCACTCGGGTCAGGAATGCAAAAAATGTGTTTTGCTCAAACAGTGGATTAAAATGTGCATAGCAATTAAATAAATATATCACCCACCTTTGGCAAGGTCATTTAACAGTGCCAGCCTACGGAACGTTGAGTTCCGTCAAACAGAAGTTGCATTCGCCTATGAAATGAGAAATGCACGCTTTTTAATTTTGATAAAACAGGACCGCTGATGGATGGATAATTGGAGAAAGAAACTCGCGAGGAATATTGACTGTATTTGTCCTGACCTCGTTTTATTCCTCGACACTGACAGCCCATGGAGCACACCCCTCGTGCGTGCGAGCATGGCCGCCGCGACACACGAGGGTTCTAGCCCGAGGTCATGCGTCCCAAAGCTTTACAAAATAACACGCGGCCGTGCGAACGAATAAATGACCGTAAATATGAAAAAAGAGGTGACCGGTTAAAGGCGCGGCCCTGCACAAAAACCACTCGCTCACGCCCGCTGCTGACGGACGGGGCTTCGCCAGAGGGTGCTCTAGCGAGGCCCTTCTGGAGGCCCCCCACTCGAAGGTGTTGGGGCCTACTCTTAAACGCCAGCCAAACACCTCGGAAAAGATTGCAGCAGCCGCACTTTGCCCCACGATACGAGACCTGCCAATCGACTTCCTACGCTCACGTAAAAGTGCAAGCGGGACCATTGTCACGGACGTACGTGGATGGAATGTCAACTGAAATCGTGTGTTTTATTTATTTACAGAGCGAGAGGCCTTCTGCAGTACCGTAACCAGGAATCAAGTTGAGGTTGTGGGTTTGATCTCGACCCCTACGCCTGTATATTTGGGGTTTGCGTGTCTCTGTCCCCGTGGTCGCGTGGATTTTTCTCCAGGACCTCCGGTTTGTCCCCCCACATTTAGAATTAGAGTGCGCTTACAGTATTTGGCTGCTGCTCTAAATTTCCACGTGATAATAAGCCACTATCATTTCCAATGGCCAGGTCACTTTTGAAATAGGGCTACGTAGCTCAGTGGGGCCTTACCCTGGTAACATTAAAACAATAGTAAAGAAATATAGTTCCCTTGGCGATAAAACAAAACATTTGACACATCTATTCCACCGCATCTGTTCCGCCGTTTCCTTTTCCACCCCCGCTGCTACCTTGAGAGTGGCGTGGTTCAGCATTTCCTGCCAGGCTGAGTCGAAGTGACGATCTTCCTGCTCCAACAGCCGCTCCTCTGCCAGCGCGATCGTCTCCTTGGCCGCTCGCAGGACCTCGCTCGCACGCTGGAAATCCTGAGTTGCCTTCTGCGCCAAAACTTGTGCCTTGAAAGGAGATTTCCCCCGGAAAAATTAATTCCGGCGTTAGTCGGTCCGTCGATCGGACTTGATCTAAACTAAACTTCTTATTTTACCAGGTAAGGCTCACTGAGCTATAAAGCTCTTTTTAGAAGCAAGCTGGTCACCACAAATGATAGCTCAACGGGGTGCCTTTACTGCTTCTTGTCTTTAGTTTGTTGTCCTTCCCCCCCCACACCTCCAATTAGCACGGGTTGGCTACGTGCGGTGCACAAGAAGTGCAACATACATCGCGTGGAAATCTCTTGCAGCCAAATACTCTGAACACGTGACGTCGATTCTAAATGTGGAGGGAAAAACCTGAGAACCCGGAGAAAAGTCCACGTTCCTCCTCTCCCACTCACCGCCGATCTTTTTCTCACTCGACGTAATCTTGAACACGCTAACTCACGTCTCTGCGACGAGCATCCTGCTCATGCTCTCTCGTTTCTGATTATGTTAATTTGGCCGTTATAAATGTCCACGTGATGATGATGAGCCACTTCGTTGAGCTATCATTTGTGATAGCCAGGTGCAGTCACGAAAGCTTCAAATCAAGATTGTTTACCTTTCCTATACTTTGCACTCCTATCGTGTTGTTGGTACTGTTTGTTATTGTAACTTGCTAATGTGCCTATACTTGACATCTGTGAAAAATAACTTTATAGCTCATCAGATTCCTCCCCTCCAGTCTCAATAAAGAATCTGCTTCTGAAGAAGGACTAGAAGCTGTATCGTTCATGAATGTAATCTCAACGCACGTGTAAATAATAATAATGATATCCTTGTATGTGTGTTGAACTTCTTTCGCACCGTACGTAGCCAACCGTGCCAACTGGAGGTGCGGAATGTGACAATCTTATTGGGTGGTGGAGGGCATAATGAAAATACTTTTGACACAAGAGTGCAGGCAAGTGGCCTCACCTCCAAAAATAAACACGGATCAGAAATTTGTCAGAAGAAATCCGAACACAGATTGGTAAGAAACGACTGTGCTGGGCGCCTTGTGGCCGCTGCCACTTTTCAGTTCAACCAAAATGCAGTCCCTCTGAGAAAGTGTAAAGAGGCCGTCCATAAATGACGTCACGCACCTAGGGGGAGGGGGGGTTTGAGAAATGTGACGTCACATCAAAATGCGCAACTTTAAATAAATATAGACAACACGTTCTACTTAATTAAATAGACTTTTTAATAAATGTTTTCTCCTACAACATCAGAGTGCAGCGCCACATTAAATAAGCACTACAATGACAATAGTTTAAAGCGATTTGAAGCATATTTTATATTTTTTGGGGGGGAGGGGGGCAGAGTTTTGTGACATCATATTTAAGGGGGGGGTCTGACTTTTTGTGACGTCGTGTGACGAGGGGGGGGGGGTCAAAAATCGTCATAAGTCGCGTGACGTCATTTATGGACAGCCCCAAAGTCGCATTCGCCAAATCAGCGATTCAATCCGTGAAATGTTTACCACCCAGCGATTCAATATTCCACTGCAGCCGAAAGTGACTCCTGCGCTTTAAGACGTTAAATGCAGTTAGGTTCAAGTTGGATTTGTTGAACAAGGTGAGAACTCAAGAGACCAGGATGAGTCTCATTTGCAAGAGTGACCTGAGGTATGAGTCTGCTGCCAGTGGTGCTGGGGGGAGGGGCGATGTTTGCTGATGTATGTTCAACTTCTTTTGCACTGTACATAGCCAACCGTGATAATCAGAGGTGTGGTATTTGTATGTAAGTTGAACTTATTTCGTACTGTACATAGCCAACCGTGATAATCAGAGGTGCGGTATTTGTATGTAAGTTGAACTTCTCTCGCACAGTACATAGCCAACCGTGATAATCAGAGGTGCGGTATTTGTATGTAAGTTGAACTTCTTTTGCACGGTACATAGCAAACCGTGATCATTAAAGGTGCGGTATTTGTATGTATGTTTAACTTCTTTCCCACTATACGTAGCGAACTGTGCTAATCGGAGGTGCGCATTGTAGAATCCCAAATTAGCAAATTGTGGATATATCTCGGATTTCACAAATGTAGTCCAGACGCCTGACTGAGCCGATCGACGCGAGGTCATCTTTACCGTCCACCAAGGGTGAACGCAGAAAGCGCGTGGCATCATCATGGTCATGACACAACCACAGCAATAACCAGGGTGGCCGCCGGAAGTGAATAGTGACACCACTGCAAGAAGCGGGAATAGAGCGAGGGAGCGTGCCACCATCGCCGGGCCGCGTCGTTATGGTACAGAGATGGGGAGACGTTGCCGGGTCGGCTACTACCTGCCGCGCCGCTCGCCTCGCCTCCCAGTACGGCTTGGACTCCTCCACAGACTTCCCGAGCTTCTTGAGAAACTCGTCCAGCTTGGCCGTCGCCTCTGCCAACACCACCCGGAACCGGCTGCGAGCCTCCTGTGAGCACGCACGCCCCAGCATAAAAAGTGCGAGTGGCCGTGCTCCGGGGCGCTCCACGCATTGGCACGCGCGTCTCTGTGCCCTGTCCCTCTGTGCCCGAGCAGTGTCCAAAGAGTTACACGAACCTGGCCTCAAGGGAGAATATGCAAACTCGAAATATAAAGCAAGCGTCAGGGTCAGGATCGAACCCACTACCTCCTCCATACCAGGCGAGGGAGTTAACATCTCGCCACCGGCGGCGCCCCTGAGGATAGACTGAGCCCGAATCAACGCGTTGCTACAAAACCTTGCTCGCGGTGATCGAGAGCTCTTTTGCACAAAACTTAGATTTCGGAGATATTTCACGGGGATTCTGCAAGCGAAGATGAACAAATTACAATTTTGGGGAGTCTTTGGTTTGCCGAGAGAAACCCTGGGGCGTGCAAGACAAGAATGTTCTTTTGAGATGTTATCACCAATTAATTTCCAAGAAGCAAAGGGACTTCCTATCCGGAAATAAAAAAACCCTGCAGAGCCAGGAGGGCCTAAAGGCAGGAAAAGCGTCACCGCAAGTCGACACACAACGACTGCTCCGGCGTGACCGCTCAACTACAGTGGGCGGTGGCTTTCGTTTCCTTTGGAGTAAAAAACATTATAATTTTACAAAAACTACATGTTGTTATATTTTATGAAAGCAAAAATATGTTTCTGTTAAATTAACAAAAAATATTTTTGAAAGATTTTAATTTGAAAAACTTGTTTGGGTTTGCTAGACCTGGCCCAAGTTTGTTTTGTGTACAGGATGAACAAGTTCTGTTCATTACAGTGCGATGGCTCAAAGTAAGATTGCCGTTCAAATGTCAGGCTCGAGTTAATGCACACACCACAAGTTAGGATTCTGGGTTATACAGCCCTTGTAGAAGTTATTCATTACTACAGGTTGATGTAGTATTGTTACCTCCCATAAAAATGCTTTTTACTCAGTGTCAAAATCAAGAGGGGTAATTTCCAGGGAGACCAAAACCTCATCTGCTGGAGTGCTGGTCCAAGGTTAGTGTTTTGGTTGTAACTTGTAACCGCCATGACTCTCCATTTGCTGTGAAGGTCAATTGCCCAAAGCATCACCTGTTCTATACTTTTTTATGTCCAGGCCACAGTGAGATATTGACGAATGTGCGCCAATATCAGACAAGCCAATGCTGCGATGAAGGCCATTGCAACCCAAACTATGGACCGTACCGTAAACCCACTGTGGTCTGCGCTCCGTCAATGGATGAGGAAGAGCAAAACGACAGGAACTCTCTCTCTGCTGAAGCCCTCTCGTCACGGCTATCAGACCTCGACATTGTCAACTAGCCCCTGAACACATCGCTTACCACCGCAGCAAGGATGTCATTGATTAAATGTGTTGAGTTTATTTATTTCTCTCTCCTGCCAGGGGCCAGTTTCATTAAAAAAAACACGACTTGAGAACAATCATTGTCACTGACGGGAGAAATGTGTTCCCTTGAGGGGTCTGATGCGATTGGCCAGGGGCCTGAAACGATGTCACCAAGCCCAGCGGAACCGTTGTTACCTCGAGTTCCGTTTCGAGGCGGTTGATGGCGTCAGTCGACTGGTTCAGTTTTTCCAACTCGATCTGCGAGCAGCGGGGAACGGCAAAAATCCCCACGAGGAGTCAGTCAGTATACGTGTATGTGAAATACAGCAGTGGAAACCTGGCACAGCATCCAATAACGCAGTACACAGAGTGCTCACGCCAAACAGGCAGTATGTGCAGTACATTTGATTTCTTTCGCACCGTACATAGCCAACCGTGCTAAGCAGAGGTGTGCGCTAACCACTGCACTACCGCTCCCCTTGCAGGCGTAAGTAACTTCTGGGAGGTGTTGAATAAGTGGAACTGTCTTCACTGTGGCTTTGTGTTGTTGTTGTTGTTCTAATCGTCGTTTTGTGGTTTGTGCTAAAATAGCTGTTTCATAAGCCATTAATTTACTCACCACAGCAAATTATTCCAGAGCAAACATCAGTGAGGACATTATTAATACACCAAAGAGACATGGAAAGTCGGGGGAAACGTTGGGACAAGGTTCGGCCAACATTGGCCCAGCGGTTCTAACGTCGGCTCAACGTTGCCTGTTTACTGGCTTGGCTGTCAACATAGCGGCAAAATAGAGGATTTTAAAAAGCTTAAAGAAAGATCGTGAGCGAATCTGCTTGTTGCTACACACCACGACACACACTGCTCGTGTTACACGTAAAATACATCGCATTAAATACAAATGGTCACTATTACTCATTCTGTGTACAGTGCCATTGGCAGTAACCCACGCCGAGAAAAATGTTTTTTTGGAAACGGATGCAGTGAACCCAAACCATACACCCACCAAAGACAAAGATCCCCCGTGTAGCCTTCACAGACTGTTGGGGCAAGTGGTGTTAGCGAGCGCCTATGAAGGCCGGCACGGCACACGAGAGGGGTGGGTGGCCAGCACCACGCCCGGCCGCCTTTGTCTCCCCAGCGGCGATGTTTACTACACACCGCTACACCAGGTTCTCATTTGAGGCTGAGTCTACTTAGAGCAGGGCCCCATTGACTGACTCCAATACTCGTCACTGGTGTTGGCCGTGAGCGGGGTTCGTAGTACAGCGTGCTAACCCCTACACTACCGCTTCCCACGTGCACCCACCAGCACTCGCTGGAGGACCCACACCACCGACACCGCGTGGTCTCAACAATTCAGTTGTGTGTGATCACAATTGAACTACTCCGATGCTATCATGCTACAGTCTGACAGCTTTGTTGGCATTTTTTTCCCTAAAGTTTGAACGCCGAATTACATCGATAGGGAGGTCATGGACCACGTCGAAGTTTAACCACAATTCGAGAATAACTAATTAATAGCATAACACTTTAAATGAACTACAACTTAAAAATACGTGAAATTTATTCATATTAAAATTAATAACAATACAACTATCCAACATTCGTTTCGGTATGTTTATTTCCGGCCACCCCGTACACGTGTATTGCAGGAAAGACAATGTGGGTTGGAGCAGTGTGCATTGTACTCGACAACAGTGCGCACTAACTCTGCCTTCACAATGCTATGGGTAATGAATGTGCATACTGCACGTCTGATTACTGTACAATACATATGCTCTCTGTACAGAAACCCGGTTTGTTCTAGAATCGGCCCATCACCTCCTTTGAGGTCGATAAAGCATTGCACAGTATTGTTTTGCGGATAAGTCAACAGTGGCCGTTCTAATGAAGGAATGAGCCCGCTGCCATGGGAATGTGGAATTTCCACCAAACGCCACGAGGCAAAGTAGAACTGAACGAACCACGCGCTTGCTGATGAGAGTCGGAGAAGTGGAAACCTGTCCATAGTGTCCTGTTTATCCATCACGCTTGCGTAAAATATAGGTCGATAAACCCGAATGTCCAATGCTTAGTCTACACAGCATGGCACGCGTGTGTTCATACAGCTGTAGGTCGACTCAGCCTCAAATGGTGCGGAGTGTAAACATCGCCACTGGGGAGACAAAGGCGGCCGGGCGTGGTGCTGGCCACCCACCCCCCTCGTGTACCGTGCCGGCCTTCATAGGTGCTGCTCGCGAACAGCACTTGCCCCTACAGTCTGCCAAGGCTACACGGGTGGTGGTGGTGTTGTATCTTTGTCATCACCTGCACGCGTGGGTCCACGCCCTCGTCCTCCTCCCGGTGGCCACCGCTGGGGTCGCGCTGACCATCCCAAAGTCTCTCCTCCTCCGAGCTCGGAGACCCCGGTTCGTCGCGGGGTCGTGGCGAGCGGACCCCGGCGGCCTGTGCAGTCCTGCACGCAGTGTCTCCCCCCACGCCCGCCATGGCAGCAGCGGCAGCAGCAGTAACTCGCCGTCTCCTCCCTCTCTCTCTCTCCCCCCTCCTCCTCTCTCTCCCCCTCCTCCTCCTACTCGTCTCGTCCAACAACAGGGGGCGGACTGATCGTCCACTCACTACGCGATAGATGGATGGCCTCGAGCAGCTGCTGTCAGGGTAAACAGCTGCCCGGCACGGCGAAGGCAATGAATTGTCGGTCGCATCACGGCAGTGGTCGTCGTCTTCCCCCCCGGGACTGACCCTGCCCAGTGGCGACAAGACCGACGTTGTTCACAATGACCCACCACCACCAACAATGACCCACCACCACCAACAATGACCCTCCACCACCAACAATGACCCTCCACCACCAACAATGACCCACCACCACCAACAATGACCCACTACCACCACCAACAATGACCCACCACCACCAACAATGACCCACCACCACCAACAATGACCCACCACCAACAACAATGACCCACCACCACCAACAATGACCCACCACCACCACCAACAATGACCCACCAACAATGACCCTCCACCACCAACAATGACCCACCACCACCAACAATGACCCACCACCACCACCAACAATGACCCACCACCAACAATGACCCACTACCACCAACAATGACCCACCACCACCAACAATGACCCACCACCACCAACAATGACCCACCACCACCAACAATGACCCACCACCAACAACAATGACCCACCACCAACAACAATGACTCACCACCAACAACAATGACCCACCAACAATGACCCACCACCAACAACAACAATGACCCACCACCACCACCAACAATGACCCACCACCAACAACAACAATGACCCACCACCAACAACAATGACCCACCACCACCAACAATGACCCACCACCACCAACAACAATGACCCACCACCAACAACAATGACCCACCACCAACAACAACAATGACCCACCACCACCAACAATGACCCACCACCACCAACAATGACCCACCAACAACAATGACCCACCACCAACAACAATGACCCACCACCAACAACAATGACCCACCACCACCAACAACAATGACCCACCACCAACAACAATGACCCACCACCAACAACAACAATGACCCACCACCACCAACAATGACCCACCACCAACAACAACAATGACCCACCACCAACAATGACCCACCACCAACAACAATGACCCACCACCAACAACAATGACCCACCACCAATGACCCACCACCAACAACAACAATGACCCACCACCAACAACAATGACCCACCACCAACAACAACAATGACCCACCACCACCAACAATGACCCACCACCACCAACAACAATGACCCACCACCACCAACAATGACCCACCACCAACAACAACAATGACCCACCACCAACAACAACAATGACCCACCACCACCACCACCACCAACAATGACCCACCACCACCAACAACAATGACCCACCACCACCAACAATGACCCACCACCAACAACAATGACCCACCACCACCACCAACAATGACCCACCACCACCACACCCCGCTGTTGCCAGTCGTCGCGAAGAGACTCCTCTCGGGGCCGACCGACCGCCACTCTGATCGGTTCGTTCGAAGTCGCCACTAGGGGGTGGGGATGGTGAGAGAAGGGGGGGGGGATAGAAGGGGTGAGGGTGAGAGAAGGGGGGGTGAGAGAAGGGGGGTGAGAGAAGGGGGGGTGAGTGGGGGGATGGTGAGTGAAGGGGGGGTGAGAGAAGGGGGGGTGAGAGAAGGGGGGGTGAGAGAAGGGGGGGGGATGGTGAGAGAAGGGGGGGGTGAGTGAAGGGGGGGGATGGTGAGAAGGGGAGGGGAAGGTGAGAGGTGGGGGGGGGATGGTGATAGAAGGGGGGGGTGGGGATGGTGAGAGAAGGGGGGTGAGAGAAGGGGTGGTGAGAGAAGGCGGGGGGGTGAGAGAAGGGGGGTGAGAGAGGGGAGGGGTGAGAGAAGGGGGGTGAGAGAAGGGGGGGGTGAGAGAAGGGGGGGGGTGAGAGAAGGGGGGGTGAGAGAAGGGGGGGGGAGGTCCACGAATGCTGAGGCTGCGAAATTTTCAGACAAAGCGATCGAACTCCGCCTCCATCACGTCCACAAAGACAAAGATCCCCCGTGTAGCCTGCGTTGGGGCAAGTGCTGTTTGGCGAGTACCTACGAAGGCCGGAACGGTACACGAGAGGGTGGGGTGGCCAGAACCACGCCCGGCCGCCTTTGTCTTCCAAGTGGCGATGTTTACACACCGCACCAGGTACTCATTTGAGGCTGAGTCGACCTAGAGAAAGGCCCCAGGACCGGCTCAGATAGACTGTATAATCGTCGCTGACGTTGGCCGTGAGCGGGAATTGAACTCGCGTCGCCGGGTTCGGAGCGCGGCGTGTTCACTGCCACACACACAAAAAAAGACAAAGATCCCCCATATAGCCTGTAACAGACTGTAGGGGCACAGTAACATACACACACAGTAACATACACACACAGTAACACACACAGTAACACACACAGTAACACAACAACAACCGCCATTCGCCACTAAGTGGCGGTGACGTCACCACGACGCTTGTGCCAGGCTATGTGCACCCTGAGGCCACGTGAAGTGTCGAACGCCCGCTGGCAGGAGGTCACGGGGCAGACCCAGGTGCCACGGGTCGACTGACTGAGATGACTGGCTGATGCACCACCTGTGCCCCCTACTGTGCCAACCTGCTGTGCTTTAGCCACCCGGCGCTCCGCTCGTTGTTGTGAGCGTCGCTCCTCCGCCCTCCGTTGTTGTTGGAGGGCGACTACTTCCAACTGCCCAGTAGCATCCTTCACGAGCCTCCTCCACAGAGGACGATCTTGACACCGCTGGTACCAGTCATCGGCAAGTCCACTCAGCTCCACGTCCTCCTGTACCACATCACTCCATCTCTTCTCTAGCCCGTGCCGCGCCCGCTTAGCCCCCTCGATCCGGCCGAACAAAAGCTGTTTCGGCATGCGGTGGCTGGGCATGCGGGCTACATGACCCAGCCATCGCAGCCTTCCCCGCCGGAGGAGCTCACCGATGGGACCTTGCCCAGATCTTTCAAGGATTTGTGAGCTCCTCACACAATCCAGTCTGGTTAAACCCAGGATGGATCGTAGGCAGGCCAGCCTAAATGTTTCTAACCGGCGAAGATGTTCCATTTGGGGGGTCCACGTTTCGCAAGCGTAGAGAAGGGAGGGAATGACCGTGGCCGAGAAGACCTGAAGCTTAGTGCGCAGCGACAGACCAGGTAGCTTCCACACAGCGTTACGCAACCGATGAAAAGATATTGCCGCTCGACTGATTCGGAGTGAGACCTCTGCTGTTAAACTGGAGCCAGTCATAAGCACACTGCCCAGGTATGGGAAACTCTCCACTCTCCCCACAACTCCCAATCGGTGATGGGGCAGTTGTGGGGATGGAGTGTCCGATGGTACAAAATACCCAGGCAGGTGCTTAGTTTTGGTGGGGCTGATGGTAAGGCCCCACCTCTTAGTGGCACGCTCCAGTCTCAGCAGCAGCGTCTCCAACTCCTTCTCTGAATGAGCAGCTATTACCAAATCATCAGCATACATAACGTGGTTGAGCAATAGGGAGCCATCCCTTGACCACACCCGGGCATCGATCAGCCTCCCATTATATCTGTACCATATGGAGATTCCCCCGGTACAGCTATTGAAGGCTTCACGAACTACGTGGTCAAAATAGATGTTAAATAATGTGGGAGCCAGAGGACATCCCTGTCGCACCCCAAGGTGTACAGGGAATGGCTCTGACTCCCGACCACGTAGTTTTACCTGGGCCCGCTCACCATCATGAAGGTCCTTAATGATCGTGAGCAAAGGGTCAGGTACTCCAAAAGCACGAAGAACAACCCAGAGCCCTGGCCTACTGATGGTATCATAGGCCTTGACCAGGTCAATAAAGCAGAGATGTAGGTCTTGTTGGAATTCCCTACACCTCTGCTGTAGCAGACGGACAGAAAATATGGCATCTGTGCAGGACCGCACTTTCCTGAAATCGCATTGGGGCTCCGCAAGCCTCTCCTCAGTGTGCCTGGCAAGGTGATGTTGAATAATCCTTGCCAGGACCTTTCCCGGCACACTGAGGAGTGAGATGCCCCTGTAGTTGTTACAGTCTGTGCGGTCCCCCTTCTTAAAAAGGGGGACCACCAGGGCATCCTTCCAATCCTGCGGAACCCGTCCAGTGGTCCAGATTGTTGTTATGATGTCATATAGGGCAGTCTGTGCACAAACACCGCCCTCCCTCAGCATTTCGCTTGGGAGATCATCTCTGCCCGGTGCCTTTCCTGGTCTCAGACTCCGGATAGCCTTCAGTACTTCCTCAACAGATGGCACCTCAGCCAGCCACTCACAGGGGGTGACTTCTTCCAATATTTGAGGCACTGCAGCCTCAGCAGGGTCATCCCCACTTTGTGCCACGATGTTTTCCTAGCTGAGGGATTTCCCCTCCCCCAGGACCTCACAGAGATGCTCAGCAAATCTGCAAACCTATTCCTGGGGGTCGGAGATTGGATCACCGTTTATTCCCCCTAATGATGGTAATAGGTGTGGTGCTGCAGGTTACTTTTTTGATGGAGTTAAATAGAGATTTGTGATCGCGGGCCACTGAGGCAGACTCCATCTCCTCAGGAACCCGCGACCACCACCCACCCTTTCAGCGCCTCAAGGCTCTCCGAACCTCCGAGCGAAGGCTGCGGTAAGCCTCCTCATTCTCTGACGTGGGATTCTGTAGCCGATGACAGTGGGCCTGTCGCTTTTTCTCAACCATCCTGAACACCTCCTCTGTCAGCCAGGGTCTCTGGGGAGGTCTGGACCGCGTACCCAAAGCAGCCATTGCAGCTGCATGAGTCACAGTCCTAAACCTCGCCCATTTACCCTCGACATCAGGAGGAGTCGGGGACGATGCCAATCCCAGCTGCAAGAGATGATGAAATTCTCGCTTGCAACTTTCATCAGATAACTGAGACCAGGCCACTTTAGGTTGGAATGGGGTCCTGGGTGTACACCCACCACCAAAGTGGAAGAATGGCAGGCGCATCTTACAGATGACTAGTCGATGGTCAGAGGGCAGATCAACTCCACGGTAGGTCCTGGTGTCTAGGACATGGGCTCGCATCGGCTGGTCCGTCACTATGTAGTCCAGCAGATGTTCTTGCTTGGACCCGGCATGCATCCATGATGTTGTGTGGATGCGCCGATGCCGGAACAGCGTGTTGGTAATTACAAGCCCATGGGCTGCACAAAAATCTAGCAGCCTCCTGCCGTTGTTATTGAGCTGATCTGGCCCATGACCTCCAATCACTCCAGACCAGGTGCCAGTATCATGACCAACTCAGGCATTGAAGTCCCCCAACATGATGACTCTATACCGAGGGGCCACTTTAGCCAGCACCTGTGACAGGAGGTCATAGAAGGCATCTGACTCATCGGCTTTGCCTGCATCCCTCCACGGATGTTCATCTTCGGTGGGGGCATAAGTAACCATGACCACCATTCCTCGCCTCCGGTTGATGGGAAGGCGAGCCCAAAGTAGCCTGGGACTTACAGCTTCCCACACCTCACCACCACGCTCCCACGCCCCCTTCATTCTTTTGTTCAAAAGAAGAGCCACACCCTGTTCTTTGGCAGTCTGCTGCCCCGAGTAGAGGACTGTCCACCCCTCATGGTGGCAGGAGCCAGAGCCGGTCCACCGGACCTCCTGAATGCCACACAGATCCAGGCGGTACAGGTCCAGCTCCCGACAGAGGAGTGGCAGCCTCTCCTCCGCAGTGAGCGTTCGAACATTCCACGTGGCCACCCGTAGTGGCTTTTCGTTGTTTCTGGAGGAGCCCCGAGGGTACATATTCAATCTCCTGGCTCCGCCAATTGGGGTTTCGCCTGGCCCCCCGGGGCCTCTGGCACAAGCTTATTAGTTACATATTTCAGTTTAACTCGTGGTTTAGTGGTAATTAATTGAAGGTGGAGGGGTTACCAGCCCCTCACACCCGTCCAGAGCCCCCGTTTAGCACCTGTGGTGGACACATATGCCATGGGGGGAGGAGCCAATCAAAATTGTACCTCCCCCCACAGCACTGTCCACGACAGAGTTGCCCGTCCGGCACCGCGAGGAGGTACGGGGTTGTTTTGCCGGACAGTAACACACACACAGTAACACACACACAGTAACACACACACACAGTAACACACACACACAGTAACACACACACGGCGTCCGCGCGTGTGTGTGTGACGCAACCACGAGGGGAGCGGTAGTGCCGTGGTCAGCGCACGGCGCTACGAACCCGGCCAACCGGGTTCGATTTCCGCTCACGGCCAACACCGGTGATGATTATCTGAACCGGTCCCTTGGCCTCCCCTAGGTCGACTCGGCCTTAAATGAGTACTTGTTCGGCGTGTAAACATCGCCACTGGGGAGACAAAGGCGGCCGGGCGTGGTTCTGGCCACCCCACCCCCTCGTGTGCCGTGTCGGCCTTACATAGGTGCTACTTGCTAACAGCACTTGCCCCAATAGTCTGTCACGGCTATAGGGGGGATCTTTGTCTTTGTGACGCAACCACACACTGGCTTGAG